ACTTATCTTCGTCCCAAAGTATAAATCATTGTTATCTCAGTTATGAGGTACTGTAACGAAGAATACCAGTGAGACACCTAATAAAATAAATTAACTAGTATTTAGTACCACTATATTTGTTATTTTTACAATCCTAGTCACTTTCTATGGGAGTATGCAATGTACTATTGTTTACTTCAGTTAACTGTGTTTAAATTCTCTGCTTTAAAACAATTTATTTTACAGATCACCCTGCTGATTTATAGTAAATACCATGTTCTCTTCTGTATTGTTCTAGTATCAATTTTTGGACTTATTCTTTTGGTTTTAACTATTGTATTTGTTATTCGTAAACAAAGGAAGCACAAGTGCAAAACAGAGCAAACGTAAGTTATGACGATTACACCATGTATGTTTTCGTAGTAAACATTTTAATTTCTTTATTTGATCAGCAGCATTTTATTTGTCTTAAAAATAACGTCGGCTATATTTTGATTTTAAACTGATTTTTTGAAGCTGTAGTCAATAACATTTTTCAGTTGAATAATGAAAGCGTCTTTCGTCATTATAAGACGGTGAAACATTCCAGGACTTATCGACTTCTATGTGCTATTAATCTATTTCTAGCACAAAAAGATACATGGAATAGGCTTTATTTTTTCATCAGTGTTATTCTGTAGTATACAGTTGCATGAAGTCTAAAACGGATGGATAGTTAAATTAACTTCACAAAAACTCTGTGTTTAATAAACTTCAGGAAATAATTAGTGTTTATATAGTAGGGAAGAAATTCCTATCCAGGATTGTAAAGGTCATGATGTAAGTGTTGATCTAGAAAATCTTTCGAATTTTGTTTAGAGTGAAATATATTGAGTATTCACTTACACATCCGATAAAAATTCATTTGATAGCTGCATAATATCTGATAACTGCCTTAACTTGCGAATATTCAGTATCTTGTCATTGAAAACAACACCATTTAACCACTGAGTCCAACAGTTAATACTTTCAAACTCAGTTAGTGTTGTTGTATAGCACTAACGTTCATCTGTTGTCACCAGTGGGAAAATTCCTCGCTTCAGAATGAAACAGGCATTCGTCGCTCCCACGGTTCTCTAGCTTTAGTGTGCAAGTATATGAAAAGTGACAAGGCATCTCTTTTGCATAAAGCCGAATTCCTAGAATACAATATTTGCAAATGCCATTTCTTTTGTCAATAAAAACGGTTGTAACCAACTAGGGTCAACAGTTAGGTGCCAACTGCTACGATAACAAACCAATAAGAGAAATTATGCAAATGTGTAAATGCTTCGTTTTAATGGTATTTCCCGATTACTATTCACAAAAGTTTGGGAAAGGTTCAATTGTACAGAGAGTTCACACTGTATAAAGATGTATAAACATGTGTAACCAACTTATATTTGAACAAATGAAATATTATCAGTAATTGGGTCCTATCCCCATCATATTTTTCTAATGAAAATATCCTTAAAACAATACAAGGACCAAAATTTACAAAGCGCATCGTTGAGCAAAGATAATAATGGTACTTTCTGGAACAAATTTATAGATTTAATGATCTATGCAATAAACGTCCATAACTAGTAAGAATCATGATTGAGATCAATGATATTAAGAAATTTAAATTCGTTCTCTAGCTAAAACACAAAATATTCACATTCTAATTGTGTTGGAATTATTTCTTCATACAAAGTAACCACAACTACTTCGCATTAAAATGATCTTTTGGAATAACTTTCGCTCTACAAAATAAGGCTGATGCTGGAAATTCTAATTTTTCGACTTTTTGCTGTGAAGAGACTTGTTAAGTTTGTTTGCAGCGTATTTTATCTCGTAGATGCGGTTAGCGAGAGCTGCAGGTCGTTAGAAGTATTAACTTTTGTATGATGACCAGTAGTTTGTACTAATCAGCAGAATACGACAACTTTTAACTTTGTTCCTTGTATCGAATAAGTCTGACTTTTCAGTATAATAGCTTCAAACGTGCATGAAAAAAGATCCAAAGACTACCGTAATGTAAGATTTATCGTCATTGAGAAACAAGTCAATCAATGCATTTCTTTTATGAAGTAAGTTCTCTAATATTTAGTGTAAATTTAGACAGACTGGAAAGATATTGACTACTCAAATATAATCATTTTAACTCGTCAGTATAGGGTTGTAAAGATTTCTGGACTTCACTGAAATCGAAAACTCATCTAAGTTAGACCACCACTAAAGACCTGAAAGCACTAGACGGCCGTTTCGTCCAAGCATGCGACTCCTGAGCAGTGGGCATCTAAGATCCCACAACCAGAAACCGAACCCATGACCTTCGGCTCACTGACACGGGATCCAGTGATATAATATAATATAACTTCAACGAACTCATGATTTTGCACTGCCATCTCCCATTACCTTCGGTGGGTACATTGTTTAAACCCGACATAGCTTAGCTCCACAGCTTCCTACTAAAATCCCGGTAATCCACCGACATGAATATGAACCATTATGTCGAAAGTTGTAAACTATTTGATTCGAGTCCTCTTGGATATCGTAAACAATGGCTAAACTTTGGATGAGATGCCTCAAAATCTTTCGTGATAGTACAGTTGTATTCACTCTGTCTTGTTACAGAACATGAGTCCAGAGATCCCCTTATACTTTTCCCATCTTTTTATATTTATTATTATTTATTTTAACACATACCTATTGGTACAAGTAGGTACCAAATACATATGCGCCATACAGATCTCACTTGATATGTGTGAAGGCTGTGATACTGCCCGGGTGCCCAAACCGAAGCAGGTGGTTTTCTTAGGGGGCCACAACCCGAGCCTTCGACCTGAACGTCTGACCCACAAGCCAGTGGAGCATCGTGAGGAGATGCAGTCCTATGGTACATGGTGACCAACGATCGGTTCATACGCTATTTGTTCCCGCAAGATAATGAAACCCATGTGCACCATTGATTTGGGATCCGGTTAAAGTGCCGGACATTCGCTTTTCGTCCTTTCATTTTCGTAAACAACGCCCCCGCCACGTGAAGGCAGTGAGTAGGACTTCCCTGGCAGAGGTTATATACGCGTGGCTATATGAGAGCATTTCGAGAGGGGGAGCGGACTATCCCCACTCTCGGCCGTAGCAGGGTATTTTGGGGTCATCTTTTTATATACCTAATTTCTCTACTTCTTCGGGATTTGTCTTGATAATTTTATCCCGCTGTGTTAATGTGATGATGGTAACTCAAAGTAATGCACATACATGCTAGATTTTAAGTTACGCAAGACTAACTGACTTTTCAATGTTTTCATATTAATTTTGATTTTAGGTGGATAGATATGACTACACAACCTTCAGCTAACGCACATCAGTGTAAGTCTATTATATGTAATAATCCTGATCAATTATTGATTTACAGTAAAAAGTAATTAACCAAAATCTAGAGGGCACCATTCTGTATAACAATCCGTCCATTAAGATGAACGGCGTTTAAAGTTTGTGCAATCAGAATATTGTTTACAAGGGCTGACATCAAGAAATTGACAGAAGTTGGAAGTGTGTACTATCAAATCTCGACTAAGTGGTCTACAACTCGAGTAGATAGACCCAAACCTCGACTCTAAGTTCAGTTGGTAACGGAATCTTGTGTACTATCGTGCAGCGTTGTACGAAACAGCCTTCCAGTTATTGTGAGGCCAAAATAAATCCATATAATCTATCCTTAGATCTACTGTTTTTTAGAAGTCCACCATTCTAACGACTCAAGTTCGTCGATACCCAAGAGAAAAATGATTATGTAGTTGTCATGCCTTTCACTAGCATGAAGGGGATTGTGTTAGATCGTTAATTTTCTAGAGACTAATTACCCTTATCTGGATTCTCACAGTAGTTCTAGATATCTGCTATCAGTAATTTTAGCTGCAGGTTTCTTAAGAATCATTTGGATTTGTAATTCGAAACGTAACTACTGAACAGTCTCTATAACCTTGACAAACGATCCTGGTGTCCTATCACATCCTTAACAATTTTTTGCAACACATTCATGTTGTGCTATTACCTGGTTTTTGATAGCTCTGCTTACTGAGAGAACATGACAAACTGACCAAAAATTCGAAACGATTTGGATGCGAAGAGAAATCTGCGTAGTTACAATTCTGTGACAATAAGTAACTCTTACTTTATATCGGTGTACATAACTCACTTTTTAAAGAAAACACTACTTGTAACCAATATACATGTAAAACAATGTCTATGCTTGTAATATCTTTGGGTTTCTATGACTGATTTTATGTCTAATGCTTAATGGTGATAATTTATCTGCTATCATTTTTCTTTAGGTAAGTTATGTGGTGGTAGACATGTCGATTGATATCTAGATATAAAATATAATTAACTTATTCATCAGTTGTGATACTTACCAGCTGCTCAAACCAAAGTAGGTAGAACAGAGCTGAGATTTAGGAACTAAGAGTAAAATGCCTTGACTGCCAAACCATCGCTCCACGTACTCATTTACCTAAGATTTACAAGCATTCTTGAGTTATTCATCGCAAAGGATTTACTTCCTTTTTATAGAAGCAAACTACTCGCAATATACAGCAGACTTAAATATCACCATCCTACGGATGTTAAGCGCGATCTAATACATTAAAGGATTTTCGCAGTTTGCCAGTATCTGGCCGAAAATCTAGCAAAAAAAACGTTTATGCCCAGTGGTAAATCTGTTGTAAATCATTATCTGCCGGTATTTAAATGTCTAGTTAAGGTCTTCCTGGTGTGTTTTATCAGCTGGTATAGAAATTAGAAATGAATTAAATAACTAAATAAGACCCAATATTTTCTTGTTTCAAGTTATACGAGTGGATCTAAGCGCCTTAGTTAGAACCTGTTAATTTAACAGCTACAAGCTTAATGGAATCCCCATGTTGAAGATAAAATCATCCTTTGTTCACTACTTTTTGAATGTGATATTACTATAGGGTATTTACCACTTGAAGTACAAAAACAGGAATATTTTTATCAGACAAACTTCCGTTTATATAGAAAAGTAAAACATGTGTTAATTACTAGATTTTACAATTGTACGTATGAACAAACGTCTACATGACCAGTGCAGTTAAGGACACAAACAAGGTTTCTGGTTAGAAGAAAATAAAGACATTTACTACACTATGTACATGAGTCCAAAGCAAAATATTTCACTTGTTGAAGCATGCTACTGTTGCAAATTCGCCAACATAGATTGAAACCTGCTACGAAGAAGCATTGAAACATCCAAGTAACGTTCTGTACAGTTTTCTATACAGTTTGCCTTTTTAGCATCCATTTTCGAAGATGGGTACCCAGAAGCACACTTATCCCAACACACAGAAGCTAAATGATTGACATGATTCTGAAACTCCGCTCTCTGTTGTATCGTTTGTATGAATATCTGCAATTCCTTATCTACGCCATCCGATTCTCGTGAAGAAAGAGCAGATTCGTAGCTGAAAAGTTGCGTTTCATAACTTTTTTACTTGATCCAAACATTAATTGAATGCAATGAATTTTTTACAGAATATATAAATGTCATATACTAAGGTCAACATAAATCCTAACAATTGAATGTGTGGAATTGTAGATTCAACCAATAATTAGAGCTTTCGACTAATAGGACACAAAATCTTGAATATGAGCTGTTGCCAGCATTTTTTTCGTACCTATATGAAAACCCCTTGATAGTTTTAGTAGAATCACAGCCACTGGCCCGAAGCGAGTACAACTGTTTAAAGCAAAGATACGTGAGATATAATTAGCCGAAGGAACACTGAGACGCCCTGATACAAAGAGCATGAGACTAATTAATAACATGCAAGTCGAAAACTGAAAGATTTAAGTATGTGCAACGTTCAATAGCGAGTACAAAAACATGCTAAATCACATCATAGAGATATTGGTTTTTCTTTCAAACCTTTATCAGCGACTTACAATTGGTTTGTAAATAAACAGGAAAGCCAGAACAGGAAGTTTATATAACTTGGAAACAACCGTAGTTGAATTACTTGTTTATTATTTGTTGCAATTTCCTTATAACCTACATAAACTTTGTTATGTAAACTACTCGAAATATCCGTCTATCAATTAAAGGATGAGTATATTGCGCGGCAGTTCGTTGTTTTAATTTACGGCTACGAAACATTGCCATTAAGAGTTGAAGATACTCGCAAGCTACTAGTATTTGACCACAGATACCTTATAAATATTGCTCGCATCTGCTGGGATCACCGGGTAGGTAATAGTGAGGTTAAACACAGTCTTAGGGAATGATGGTAAATCAGTTGATGAGGTTGTGAATCATCATCAACTGAGATGGTTGGGCCACGTGTTGCGTATGTTTCAACACCAATTACTACAACTCGCAATGCTAACCCCCCAAGTTCCCAACTTTGGGGAAAATTTTACGTATTTAGGGGAAGCCGCTATAGTAAACTTTTGGGAAATGGCACAAAAACCCCAAAATTTCCCGTGACTTTGGGGTTTCCCCAAAGTTAGGAGCTTGGGGTGTTCATCTTGTTGTGCTAACGCGGTATGGCAACTTCGACCGATGCCTGGTCCTACGTTGTAGCTGACCGAACTACTCGGAACGCATATATTTAATGCATGTCATGACAATCAACTAGCCAAAGTTCAAGATTTTTTCTCGACTAATAAGAAAAAATCCTGAACTTTGGCTACTTGATTGTCATAATATACATTAAATATATGCGTTTCTAGTAGTTCAGTCAGCTACAAAAGGAAAGAGTAAATATATATTTACCCTTTCCTGTTAGCTTCGGAAGAAAACCTAATTGGATTCTATAATATATATCAGTAGTGTATAAGAAGTTTATGACTTTTAACTTAACGTTGAAAAACCTACTCGAACGACATGTATTATAAGAGAGGAAGGAGGGTTCAAGGTACTATTGGAAACATTAAAACGAGCGGGTGATTGTTGTGGTACAGTTTAGGCAGATGGTATTTTTTGTGCAGGAATAGCATGCAAAGTAGTGCGAGTGAGGAGAACTGATAATAAAAGAAAAAGTGAAGATCTAGAAGGCTCATATAACGCATCTACACTTAATAAAGAAAGCAACAAACAGTAAGCAGTGAGAAAAGCCTTAGGTTAAAACAGTCTCGAAGTCAAAACTAGAAGCAAATATCTTAATCCGCTACAGTAATAGGCGTTTGATCTACTTAATACTCCTAGTTTGTGCGTCTTACTTCCGGTATGTTTTCATTTAGTTTTATCTGGATTATATACAATAAATCGTGAGAACCAGAACGTAATGCTTGCTTATGACATGTTGGACTGAATAACGAAGAAATTAGTCTTCGAGAAATGGGAAGAATAAATAATCACATTAATCTTTGCGTATTGTAGTAATGAGAAGAATCAACCCACTTTCAATGTATTAACGGGTGGTGATATTCCAGCGTTCTAAATGGTTCTGGTTGGAATGAAAGGAGCTTTCACTTGATAGACTTCCGCATCTTGTAGCGATGGACCTTGGATCATAGTATACCAACACTTCTGGATGTTTTTGTGGCCTGACGTTCATCTGTCCACCACCTTCAACAGGTTGGTCATACAAGAGTGACCTTTCCTGAAACCGTACTGTTGATGTGAAAGGAATTTTATGGATCATGAATGGTTAAGTACACCGTCACACATCACGGACTCTATAATTTTTGAGGGTGTTGTGAAGAAAGCTACCGGTAGGTATCTTGAAGATTCTCTGAGTCAACCTCCTTTGAAAATTAGTGTGATGTAAGTCAGCTTCCAGTTTTCTGGTAATGTGCGAGCATCACGTCAAGCGGTGTTGCAAGATTGAAGCTGTCTTCGTCAGTATAGCAGGATTAACCATACATGAACCACGAAAAGCGTATGTTCAGGTGCTGTAGTTTTCGGTACACCAAATCAAAGGTCAGATTCACTTCTGAAAGTCCTATGGAGTTGAAGATGAAGCTTTCATCAAGACTGTTAGTGTGGGTTGTTTGAAATGACTGTGAGTATTGTTCGGTGACCTCGCCATCGCTACAGGTTGGGACACTAGAATCCAGCGATGAGGGGACTCCAGTCTCGGCTTGTCAAAATAGGCTTTTCAGATTGAAAACAAATTTGCCGATTAACTTTATTGTCCTTTCGCATCGGTTACATGCTGGTCTAAACTGCCCATATGTGCTTTTATACCCCACCAAGTAGTGCTTTTTGCATTTTAGCATTCGAAAAGTTCGATGTTTGATAACTGTACTTTCTTGTGAATTTTGGGGACCGTTTGCATGACAGGCTGTTTTGTAGCACACAAAGTTGTGTGCAGTAAGAAGTACCAACGACCGTCTACATTAAAGTGCTGTAGGTTGTCCTGTGAAGTTACACATTCGACCGTTTCAAATTTCAACGCTTGTTGTTAGCAGAATGTTTTAGCTCAGTTTTGCCGTAAAATTGAAGGCTATGTCGAAGCGTTCACTTTACCCATAGAAGACAGGGTTGTGAGGATATCTATCAGGAATTCTTTTCTAGTTTTAATCTGGGCGTGATGGCATCTGACTGTCTCTCCAGCGAGTTGTTTACTTCAAAATTTGGACTAATCACAAATCTTCAATAAGTGTAAAAATCCGAGCGTCAGTGTTCTCACTTCCAGTGTGTGTTCGTTCAGCGAGACTGATTCTAGGAAGATTGAAGTCTCATAGAACAGGCTTTGAGTGTGTCCGAGACAAATTAGGCCTGGTCATCTCTCTGAATTGAGATCGTTGTACTCCGGGTATGTATCTGATATCCTGAAGATGACTCCAGCTGGGCATCTCGGTGTTATAGACAATCTCACTGAGCACGATAGAGAGTCATCAAGACCGATAAACTCTTGTACAGATGTGCTGCCAAGCATGATTGTAGGTACATGGCTGCTCCATCCTCCACATTCCTGTATAACTATCGTTGAGAAGCGAAGAAATGGCGGGTTTTGTCAGCTCCTTATCCGTATTCTGAGATGTTCATGTTTCGGTTATTTCTTTCATATGAGTATTATTAATACTCAACTCATCAGCTTTGTTCGGTAAACTCACGACGTCTGTATATAGGCAGTTAGTAACTCCGATTTGAAACGCGTGAGCCTCCCCGTTTTTTTTATCTGAATGAGCGCTTATGTGAATGGACAGCAAGCAATCTACACAGGGTTTTCCGAGTTCGTAGCTCCTGTCCCTTGTACATTGTTCCCTTCTTCTTGACAGTCCACAAGTTGAATAGTCATTTGCATGGGCATTTCAATTTAGTAATTTTGCACCTAGTTTACATCTGCGTGCATTAAACTGAGTAGTGTTTAGTAGTTGATAATCAGTATGTACAGAAAAAAAGAACAAAATATGCAGCGAGTTTACAACTAGAGCTATTAAAAGAAGTTCTAACTTTGTATTTGGTTGTGGACAACGAATTATCATCTCACGAAACGTAGGTTTTAAGTATTTTCATGTGCAGTCATAGAAAAACGATCTTACAAGTATATAAAACCAAAATGAAAGACTACGAAGTGGATCCAAGTGTTAGAGCTTAATGAACAAACACAAATTACCGAATTCTGTAACTAAGCTCATAAAACAAGTTATTCTTAGTAAGCGGCTTTTTAAAGTAAACGGATCACCAAGTCAAGTGAATTAAAAAGTCAAAATAATAATGGATACTAACAGATCATATAGGCGATCCCAATAAACGAATAAATGAAGCTCATTTTAAGACACATCGCCGAACTTTGCTCATTCTCTATTATGAACAGGTATATCCATGCGTCTTTCTTGGGGCGTAAAGCTATGGCAAGAACTCCCTCTAGAATTACCCTAACTGAAACATATAGAAAAATCAATGGACTCGGTAGCACTTACGGAGTCAATATATGACCAGAAACTCATCGTATATGCTCATAGCAGGATGAGATACAAATAAAAGTGGATCATGAATTGACAAACCGTCTATGCAACGATCATGAGCAGTGATAGACAGCAAAAACAAAGAATAAGCTATTTACGACGTACTACAGCAGACAACTTTTCAGACTTGTAAAAAATGAGATATTAAAAAATTTAGTGAGTATTTAGACTATACTGAAAAATGATAGAATAAGGATACACTCACATTCCAGGAGGATGGAACACTTGACATAATGTTTCGACGAACATCTTTACTGATCGTCAGCTAACCTTTAGTCGTCGATTTTGTCAAGCAACTTGAATAGGGCGTCATTATAAGCTGCTCAAATTTTAGTGAAGGTGAAAAAACTTCAGCTAATTCAAGGGGACAGAGAGGCATTTCAAAAACACACACAAACCTTGTACAGCCACTTCACTCCAACAGCAGTGACCGATTGGGAACTTATCACAAACTGTCAAAGGAAATTGATATATTTAATTATTATTCATCAAGGTCATCCATTATGTATTTAATTTTGTCATGGACAGCCTTTTGGAGGCAATGGACTAAACATCTGAGTTTTGAGTAACTAATCTCGAAACAGGAAAATCCAGCTATTGACTTGAAATACACGACACAGTCTTGTTGAATGAAAACATTGATGAATTTCGCCCTAAACAGCAGTGGTAAGATCTTCAAGATGCGATTCTCCCTCTCCCAACATAAAATCTTTGTCAACTCCTAAACATATTATAGGGAACGAAGTGATTGAGCGTTTCGATGACTTCACTTATCATGGGGGTTTCACCAGTCTTGTAGTTTGATATATGGTGAAATCTCCAAGTGAATCTAGAAAGTTCAGTCAGCCTTTATCAACATGCATTACTTGTGGCGTAGGCTTGATAAAATGTTGTGAACTAAAAGGTGTGTATATTGTATATGAGTACGCTTTCTATTACATTTCGGCCCTAAGAAATACAAGATATTCTCAAGTCACTTGTATTTAATTACAAGTGTCTTCTAACCACTTCCCTTGCGTTTTGGGACTCGAGTTTGCGACTCTGTGATCAGACGAAGGGTTCTATGTTGCTATAACAAGTCGACTGGTGAGGTGATGAATCGTTGTCAACTGAGATGTTTTGAGTGTGTTAAGTACGCCCGTCCATTGACTACCTAGACTTACAATATCGAATGATGTAGAAACAGGTTTAAAAAGCTTGATGCGGTCAAACCAAGACATTGCATCAGTCCACAAGTCATTCACAATCGAACTAAATCATGTTGGTAAGTACAAACAACCTGATTGCAGTCCACATGATTATCGTTAAAGACTTTCGGTGAAATCACTCAAAATACAATGTGCATTCACTCTTTATTTTCCCGTAAATTCCAGATTTTTAAATCACATCATAAAGTTGTATGCTCAGGTTATTCGGATTTTGTCATTGATGTGCTTTTGCAGACGTAAGTGCATCCTATTTGGATTGCCTCGATATTATCATTAAGATGAAATCATTTTTGGCAAATGGATAGTTCAAGTCCCAAAGAGAACACCAACTCTGTCGTACAAGAACATCAAACCAGTAGGTATCAAATAGCGTGAACTGGCATTCTAGATCCCACTGCTGGCCATTATTTATCTATGCTTAAAAATGGTTATACTCCGTAAACTGTCTTTAATTCTTAAACGCATGTTTTCCCCTACCGCATACATGCCTAATCATTTTGATTATCGCTAATGCTGTCAAACCTTTGTTGCTATGGTGTTTGTCTTGACAGTTACATCTCTTTGATCTAACAGGATGAGGAAGCTCGAATCGTTTTAAACACGTTCCAGGTCTCAAGTTGAGCATGACTGACTGGGATGGGAAAGTACCAAACCGTTTAATTACCGTTTGTCTGATGTTTAAGCTATTCAGGTTCCGATACACATATCTGGAAATATTTCACAATAGATTCGAACCGTTTGCTTTATCAGTTCGTGAACCTCTACATATATCTACATATTATGATCCTAAAGTTCGTACCGTATTCCAGAAATTATTTGTTAAATGTGGTCACGCATTTAAAAATAAAT